GTTCTATCTTGCCCAGAATGACCAGTCAGGCAGTGGTTAGTGCAAGTGAGGGAGCACAGCAAAGTTAAGTACTGACTCCCTTCTTGTTACTTGTTAATATTGGCAAATTATAATGAATTTTAAGAGCTTAGCTGTAGGGGGAGTTTTTGTGGGACCGGCCTTCCACTACTTTTTTTTTCTTAATTAGCATTTAGTTTGTTTTAATATTGCAAGAGGCAGGCTCAATTTTTATTTTGTAGTGGTGGCATGGCTGACCTAAAGAGAACCAGTCTTAGTTTGGCTTACGCACATATCCAAATGTTTAATTTAAAATGAATAATGTTGTTTAGGCTTTCTTATGAACGCATTGGTTAGGGAGCTGTTGTAGTGCTATCACGTGAACTTGTGTTTTGATCATGCAGGGCGATGCAACAGGTTCACTATAATGCTTCCCTCGCCAAGAAATAATAGTTACCTTTCATTCATTTTCTGCCCACTCTGTTCAGCCACTACGAGCAAATAAGAAAGGCCCGTGTTATAAACTCACAGCAGTAAGAGCTTACACAGAGATGAAGATGCTCTGCAGCAATGTAAAAGAGCTGAGCTAATCTCCAAGCACCAGAACTGTCACATGCTCCTTCATACCCAGAAGTACTAGGTATGCTCTTCACTTCCAGTGGCTGTACGGAGTGGTAGGGAAGCAAAGGAAATGTGAATATGTGATGCTATGGATTGGGGCATTAATGCAAACCTGTTGCTTTCTCCTGCATGGGCAAGACACATATTCTTTAAGATCTATCTATCTATCTAATTTATGTATTTAATTTTGTATTTATTTGTGTTCTTTAAAAAAATATTTTTGTTTGTAATTAGTCACATATTAAATGCTGCATATGAATATTACATTGTGGTCAGAAGATGAAGATTAGGGATAAGCTCAGGTTTGGAACAAACCTAGTGCAAACCTGAGCTCCTCTGAACCTGAGCTCCTCCGAACAAGGAAAAACGCTTCTTCCATGCCACCCAATCAGCTGCTGGGAATTCCCTACCGTCTGCTTGACTTAAGCAAAGGGGTGGGATGCAATGATGTCATTGAACTTATATGGCTACCTGTTATAATGACATTTACTTAATATGGTTATATCAGCCATAATATGTAAATGTCAGTGCAAGCAGCCCGCCCCTTTGTTTACATGTGGATGTGGGAGCGGGGAATCCCTTTACCACAGCTGATTGAGTGAAAGTGCCCATGGCAATTCCTTGTTTAGAGGAGCTTAGGTTCAGACCAGGTTCGATCTGAACTTGAGCTCATCCACAGTGAAGATCTAAGCAATCTTTGCAGCTGCAACAGAGGTCTGAATGACACACAGAAACAGCAACATCTTAGCTACTAGATGAGTACAGTCAGCCAGAAAGAATAAAAGACAGTGCAAGGTTTTAAAATTTATATCCTAGTGTGCGTTCTAAACAAACACAACTTCATGTGTACTAAATACCTCTTTGTAAAGATTTTTTACAAATATTTAAAAACATACATTTAGAAACTGACACAGTTTTTTAAATAAATTAACAATGTAACTGAACAAAAACAATTATAGTTTCCAGCTGGGTAACCCATTTTGGTGTAAGCCGTCAGCTTTCTAGTGTAATTTAATATACGCAAAATAGTTACTGTTGATTACAATATAGTTTAAGCCCACCAAATGATGTTATTAAATAAGCCCACTGTGCTGAATTACTCTGAGAGTTACTAAACAATTTATTGCAAAGAACAAAGATGAGCAGTGACTATTACCAAGTAAAGGTGTGTGCAGTGTATTAATAATAAAAACTGGTCAGGATAATATACTCATAATAATATACTTGCACACTATTATTAATACATAATGAGGGGATTTTACTAAAGGTGCCCATACACCTTACGATTGTCGTACGAAAATATTCGGACGATACATAATCGATCGTACGACCGCCGGCCGAGTGTCCCATGCTGCATATGAATATTACATTGTGGTCAGAAGATGAAGATTAGGGATAAGCTCAGGTTTGGAACAAACCTAGTGCAAACCTGAGCTCCTCTGAACCTGAGCTCCTCCGAACAAGGAAAAACGCTTCTTCCATGCCACCCAATCAGCTGCTGGGAATTCCCTACCGTCTGCTTGACTTAAGCAAAGGGGTGGGATGCAATGATGTCATTGAACTTATATGGCTACCTGTTATAATGACATTTACTTAATATGGTTATATCAGCCATAATATGTAAATGTCAGTGCAAGCAGCCCGCCCCTTTGTTTACATGTGGATGTGGGAGCGGGGAATCCCTTTACCACAGCTGATTGAGTGAAAGTGCCCATGGCAATTCCTTGTTTAGAGGAGCTTAGGTTCAGACCAGGTTCGATCTGAACTTGAGCTCATCCACAGTGAAGATCTAAGCAATCTTTGCAGCTGCAACAGAGGTCTGAATGACACACAGAAACAGCAACATCTTAGCTACTAGATGAGTACAGTCAGCCAGAAAGAATAAAAGACAGTGCAAGGTTTTAAAATTTATATCCTAGTGTGCGTTCTAAACAAACACAACTTCATGTGTACTAAATACCTCTTTGTAAAGATTTTTTACAAATATTTAAAAACATACATTTAGAAACTGACACAGTTTTTTAAATAAATTAACAATGTAACTGAACAAAAACAATTATAGTTTCCAGCTGGGTAACCCATTTTGGTGTAAGCCGTCAGCTTTCTAGTGTAATTTAATATACGCAAAATAGTTACTGTTGATTACAATATAGTTTAAGCCCACCAAATGATGTTATTAAATAAGCCCACTGTGCTGAATTACTCTGAGAGTTACTAAACAATTTATTGCAAAGAACAAAGATGAGCAGTGACTATTACCAAGTAAAGGTGTGTGCAGTGTATTAATAATAAAAACTGGTCAGGATAATATACTCATAATAATATACTTGCACACTATTATTAATACATAATGAGGGGATTTTACTAAAGGTGCCCATACACCTTACGATTGTCGTACGAAAATATTCGGACGATACATAATCGATCGTACGACCGCCGGCCGAGTGTCCCACCTTGTTTCGACTAGCTATGTACGATTATCGTACGACTGCATGGAGATTTTCAAACACGGTCAAAAGACAAAAGTAATATCGGTCAGCCACTACATTCACATGCTACGATTGTCGTACGAAAACTCGATCGCATACGATTATCGTACGACAATCGTAAGGTGTATGGGCACCTTAATACTAGAGCAGACAGAATCTGGAGCAGCTGTGCACAGAAACCAATCAGCTTTTAGCCCTCATTTTTTAAGCTTAACTGAATAAGCTGAAAACAGAAGCTGACTGGTTACTAAGCACAGCTGCTCCAGTTTTAGTCAATTCTTACCAATGTGTCTGCACTGGCGTATTTTTGCGTACCTTCTCTAGATATACAAGTCTATCATTTTTTATTATAGTTATTCTTAAAGGTATTGCTATTATTGTAAATATTCAGATTTTTTTTTTATTTTGCATTCGCTCTTGTATCCATGGTATTCTGCAGCTTGTTTTAACCAATGTGCTCTCTATTGCCAATGCTAGGAAATTAATGGTTTATCCTATGGTATTTCACCTCCTTCTGATATGGGGCAATCAATAATGCGAATGATACAAAGTGTGGGTGACAAGCAGGCCGATTTAGATGGAAAAGGCTTGGAACCAAAACCATCAGTGGTTTGTATACCCCATGCATGGTATGGTGGCTTTATAGATCTGACAGTACAGCATGTAATGATCTATATCGGGCAATATACGTACCAATGATGTAAACGGACAGAAGTTCTCTGGCTGGTTACAAATATCAGTACTGTATAAGGTTCTCAAAGTTTACTTACTTTTCTCAACCTTACCTGAAGATACCCTGGCAGGGTCATCCACTTATTGGCTAGATGTAACAACAAGGTTACAAATAGTACAACCATAAGAATGCCCACTGGGGTCATTGGGCCCAATGAAAACTATTATTTTCTTAGTGTGTTCATGTTGCAGCCTTCAGATCATAAAAAAACAGTTAGTTATTCTAGTAAAGCGGTCACATATAAAAACAAAACAACAGTAGAGTGGAATAATAACTTACAGAAATCACCTTTACTTTGCAAATTCACACTTCCCTTATTTAGTAAACAGCAGTGTAGCATCTTAATTGATGCACTTCAATTCATTTTGGTATTTGCAAAGAGCCAACCTACTGCTTACATTGGGGATGAATACTGAAGAAGAGTACTAAGGCAGGGTGGTGTAAAGTAAAGGGAAGCTATGTATAGCACCCTGCCAGCCTCTTCTCCAGAAATCATCTGCCTGCATTGCATAGTAAAGCACAGTGATGACATAATTGGGTATAAAATAAGTTATGTAATGAAAGCAGCAAGACTTTTATAAATTATTAAATAAATAATATAAATAATAATCATAGGGGGCGGGCAGGGAAGGAAAAATATAAGCAGATTCATCTTCAGCTGTTTAAACTATTTCTGATACCTTACTCCTGAAATTTATCCCTAAGTAAAATTAAACCCTCAAACTTTTTTTAATAATAAATCTAGATCAAAGGAACCAACATTCCCCAGCAAAGCACTTTACATTTTTGCCCAAGCAAAAACAGTCACCATGTTTCTGAATAACTCAAACTCTCTTAGCTTGGCTTCCCTGAACTTCCTCTCCAGTACAAGTTCACAAGGGAGAGTACATTCTCCAGCAGCTGACCATCTACTAGTTTGGAGAAGGAAAATGGGAAGAAGAGGAGGGAGCAGGGGAGTGGTTTGCCTTGCTGTGTCTGTGTGTTTGTGGAGACACACACAGCTTACTAGAATACACAAGGGTGGCTCTATAGGAACCTTGCAAGGGAAAGGATATCAGGGCCAGTGCTCGGGGGACCAGCTGATTCTGCAGGAAACTAAAACCTTTAAACATCAAGAAGCAATTTTTAATATTGCTGTCTTTGTCCATACTGGAGATTTCCTCTTCCTCATCTTGGTTCAGTTGATCGGGGATTGCCAGAAGCAGAAGTGGGGTGAAATCCCTCTAATAGGGAAAATACAGCATTAAAAATATTTAGAATATCTGTCAATGTTTTTGTTACTGGTATGTGCCCATGCCCTCCATCCCTCATTTTCACATGCTTTCAAAACTAAAACACAAAGTTTTAACTGGATTTCCATTTTAAAGGGTGGCTTTAAATGTATTAGCTTACACACCAATTAAATATTATAGTTAAACAATACCCAAACCTGAACAACTCTTTAAATATTTATATACGTTATATTATCAGTCATTTCAGGCTAGGAAGGCCTTGTGTACATGAATAGCCTGATATAAGAGAGGTAACAAGAATACCAACCAACTGTCCAGTAAATTGTGCCTATCCTTACTTTCAGTGGGATTATGCATGGGCAGGAGTTATACTGTATATTCCCTGACCATCTATCAGGCCGTGATGAAGTTATTTAAAGACTGACGATATGCCTTTCCAAGCATTCAAAAACAGAGGATGACTGATGATTTTAAGAAGAAAAGCATGCCACTGGAATGTGAAACTTGAATGTTGCATTTTTTGCTGTTTAGATACTTTGTTTTACCTATGGAATTGCAAATGAAACTCTCAAAACTATATGTGCCAGTTTGTAGACTTTTTTGTGCATTGTCCTCCATTTCTGTTATCAAAAGGATGCATTTTTCAACTATAATATTCTTAATCATGTCATGTTTTCACTTCAGAAGTGAACATTAGATATTCTTACTTTAAGTAAGCGCATGCTGGATTTACTGTACGTGTTCTATATAAACCTTCATGTATTTATGATACTTCGCAGCATAGTATATATGTTTTTATGCTTCATTCAGGTAGCAGGCATTGATCAGCAGTGTCTCTAATATTTTCTTGGAATAAAGAGATAATTTGCTTTTTGCTTTGAATTCTGCTCAGATATAACTACTGATTGACTCTAAAATAATGCAGAACAATATGTGTTTGCATTGTTTGTCTTGTGCAATGTGTGGTCTGGTTTTCATGAATTGACAGTAGCTGGTCTTGCCTGGAATTATTTATTACAAATCTCAGACATCAGCCCGAAGGGCTACACTACATTTGGTCCAATTATCTTTATGAACACTGCCAAGCAAGACATCATCTTCCTTTAACTGACTAACATAGCAGAAGGTTGGGTTATTATAACGCTGTCTGTCTCACCGCTGTCTTTGTTGTTTCAGGCTATTGTACCTGCACAGTTTGAGACCCGTATGTCCAGTGGACTGGTTAAAGGTCACGCTTATTCTGTAACAGGAGTGGAAGAGGTATAACCGAAATACTCTTAATTACTGGTGCAGCACAATGGTTTTCTGGAGGAAATATGTTTAAGGGGTTAACACATCCAAAACTAATATTTAAAGTTATGGTAATTGCCAGGAAACTATAGAGCATATAAGATCTTCCTGCCATAATTCTCAACTTTGTTCCAATCTGCCTGAAAGTTTTTGGTGTTCCTGCCCACTGTTCAATATTCCCGATCAAAGGTGCATTGCCTATAACATTACATTTTAAAAAATCGGCCAGGGGAAGTGGAAACAACTTATAATAGTAACAGCAGATGGGCAGACTTAAGTGCATCTGATTCTGAGCTATCACTAGAATCTATTCCGTCAGGTGGTTTACCTTTCTAGCATCTATCAGAAACTAAAATAGGTGTTTCAGGTGGACTGACCCTTTAAAAGTAAAAGTACTGTGTTTTGTCAAAGAGCTATGTGACTTCTATAAAGCCACAAATGCCTGAGCCATATGTTTGCAGGTAGGGCTTGCCTTTGAGGTGTGCGAGCTGTGCAACCATCTGGCGCCATGGCAATGGCCATGGGGGCCGACACAGCTCGCTATGACAGAAGCTGCAGGTAGGGCCGGATTCCCCACAAGGGGGGAGATTGCAGAGCCACCGGCTATTAAATCCAGCTGGTGCAGCTCTGTGCCTGGCTGAGTGGCTCCTGTCACTTTCAGGATGGCCAAGCAGAGGATCGGTAAATACGCGTAATATTTACTGATCCTCTGTGTGAAGCACAAACACTGGAGTGATCACTGATTACTCCAAAGTTTGTAAACAATTGTGGATACATAGTACTATGTGTCCCCAAATATGACTAAACGGGAAGTGCTTTACATAACTTCCTGTACATTCATGAGTTTCTGAATGGGTAGAAGCAGCTTAGTACAGAGGCTTCTATCCATTCATAACTGGTTGATAGTAAATATTTACTATCTCCAGTTTGTGAGTGAAGCACTCTGTACTGAGTGCTTTCCATCCATTCAGTGCTGAGGCTGCAGAAAAAGAGATTGAGGACTCTGTGTCCTCAATTTCTTTTTCTATTTCAAAAGGGAAATTTAAGGGGCTTGTTTAGACCCCTGATATTTCCCCGAAGTCCCCCAAAACAGTAAAAAAAAAACAAAAAAACACAACACCCCCCGTCAAAAAACTCAAACATACAAACGCGAAAGAGTGTGCACCATGCACTTTGTTTTAGTAAACAGTATGCACTATTTAACCACTTGAAGTCCGGGGTGTTAAACCCCCTTCCTGTCCAGGCCATTTTTTTTAGTATTCAGCGCTGCAGTACTTTGACTGACATTTATTCCGTCATGCAACACTGTACTGAAATACATTTTATACAATTTTTTGGAGACAGGTAGAGCTTTTTTTTGGTAGTATTTAATCACTGGGGGTCTTATTTTTTACTATATTAAGGAAAAATTACAGAAAATTGTAAAAATGTTTCCGCTATATTAAATTATAAAAACTTATATGTACAGAATTTTTGGGTAAAATATAAAAGGCAGGGTCACGTCAGGTAAAAAGACACCAAACATGTCAAGCCTTAACATTGCACGCACCCGCGAAACCTCAAAAAAGTACAATACCCAAAATTGGCCATAGGCATCGCTTTAAAAGCTTTTACTGCTCATCAGTTTAGTGTTATCACTGATTGATGGCCCATAAATGATTGCTCTCACTCCGACGTTCGCAGCAATATGTAACATGTGTAGCACAATTGTCGCTTTCGCATCGAACGCGTATTTATGTTTATATGTGCGTAAACGTGTGGGTGGGGGACAATCCCCCTATATAATAGCAAAGGCACACTGACTGGTCCTCTTTATGGAGACATTAGGGGTCTCTAAGACCCCTAATGTCACCTGGGGACCCCAAAGAAGCTGATGAAGCCGAGATCTACTTCATCAGCTTCTTCTCTGTGGCTATAGCAGCCAGATGACTGACAGGTGAATGCGGAAGTGATGTATTACACATCACTTCTGCATTCACAGTAGGGAGAGAGATCAGCATGTAGGAAGATGCTGTTCTCCCTCCCATCTTACCTCCCATCTTACCTTCTGACACCCTCCCCGAGCTGATCCCGGGCCGCAGATGGGCTAGCGGATCCCGGGATTGAAGGTGAGGGGTCAGGAGGGGGCGGCACTCCAGGGGGGGAGGAGGGGCGAGCAAAACAACATACAAGCGATCGGCGGCTATATAGTCGTCAATCATTTGTATGTAAAACAGCCGGTAACGGCTGTAAAGAATGGACAGGTTTTCTCTGCCCAGGCGCGCGCGAGCAGAAACAAAATGCTGTCTAATTACGGCAACCCGCCCATGTGAGTCTGCCGTCCGTCTGTTTTTTCACAACGGGTGGACGGCAAGTGGTTAACATGTAGTCTAGGTTTTGTGTTCTGTTTTTACTTTTCTAGATGCACTTACTTGAAAAAAGGGTCTGCATGACATCCTGACACTTTATTTTTATTGACTCTGTTTTAGTTTGACATTTACAGGGTTATTCACAAAAGGGTGAAGCGTTTGGAGAAGGCAGGAGAAGTGAACAATCTAGGACAACATAGCTGAACTGGAAAGTGAGCTGAATTGGAGAATTGTTCCAAATCAGCTATGTTGTCCTAGGTTGTTCACTTCTCCGGCCTTCTCCAAACTCTTCACCCTTTTGTGAATAACCCTGTTATTATTTACCACTTATTTACTGTTGTTTTATTTGATAACAATACTTATATTATGCTTACAAGTTTAATACCTATCAAACTTTTTAATCTGTTTCTTTGGGGCTTAACAAAATGGGAGGTTTTAAATGGTGCGGGTATTTGAAAAATGGTTGTGGCCACTGAGGGGAGTGGTTACTGAGGGGTGTGGTCACTGAGAGGCACTGTAAAGCTTTTTCACACAGGGTGCCTAAAGGCCTAAGGCCGGCCCTGTTTGCAGGTAAAAAAGTTAATTTTTCAGAATGGCAGCACAAAGTTAAGTAACGATATGATCAAGCAACCAATCAGAGTTTAGTCATATGCAGGAAATCATGAACTTAGTAGTTACTGCACTTTGCAATGATGGCATATTGTTCTGCCTTACTGAAAAAGCCAAAAGGTCTGTGAATCATTCCCAGAAATTAGTTCATCAAATCAAATACACAATATGTTTATACCAGTCTATAAGCCTACAATGTAGAAAACATAGTTCTTAAACCAGCATTTGTAGAAATGTCTAATATCTTTGTATCTTTATATTTTCTACAATATAGACACCTTTTAAAATGGAGAAGGTAAAGCTTGTCCGTCTTAGAAACCCATGGGGACAAGTGGAATGGAACGGATCTTGGAGTGACAAGTAAGCCAGATGTGTCCTTTAGTATTGCTTCCTGGCTGGTGTCATTGGCCCTGATTTATCAAATAAGGACAGGATAAATTGACGTTTTATGTAATTTTCCAAAATGGCTTTGGAGAAATGAAAGGTGAAAGATGACTATTATGAGCACCTTTACATTTCCATTCCTCCAAATATGATAATGTAGAGAAACTGTAGTTACAGTTTAAATGAAACAAATAATAGTGCTATTGAACATCGTAATGTTTAACACAGCAGCTAATGAAAGATGTTTATTTTTTATCATACAATCTTCTTCACTATGACACCACTAGCAGTGTATTCATTCAGAAGAAGAATCCTTCTTAACAAAGTTTTTAATAATGGTCCTCTTCCACATTCTTGGCTTGTATGTCTAGCTCATACTTATAGGTACACAGTGTTTGGGGGAGGGTATGTTAGGAGGATATTTAACACATTTATACACATTGTCCCAAGGCTGGGCATTTTCAATCTCCTCTCTAACACCTGACCCCCCTACCGCCTGACGATCCCCTTCTCTACCTGTGTGTCCCCCCTACCTTATGTGTTGTTCTGTCTGTGTTATGTGGTGTCGTTGCCTGCCGCTCTGCCCGGCTGGTTACAAACTAAACTGGAAGTAGCCTAGATACCGCCACCCCTCGACATTACATAGCCTTGGGAACTCCTAAGGGTATTCGAGAAACATCCTGAGTATCTTCTAACCTACAATCCTCAGTGATGATTAATTAACTGACACCTCTTTTAGTGTAGGATCTCAGCTAGTTTATAAGCCACACGTACAAATGCTATGACATTATTGCATGCATATCTATATATTATGATTTTTCCCGAAGACCATTGTCTCACCAGGTCTACTACCATGCCAATGTGATTGACCCGAAACCTGTAACCATCCCCTGTCTGCATACTACCATGTATTTAGCTACTACTACTACATGTCATACTGTTGATACTACGGTCTGCGCACCGCATAATGTGATGTTTTTGTATTGTCGATTGTATTACGTGATAAACTAATTAAAACATTTATATGAAAAAAAATGATCAGTAGAATGAGATATACAGGCAGCTAAAATTAGATGAAAATCCCAATAGGGAGGTTTGGGTAATTGGAGTTTGGGAAACTCAACTTTTTGGAAAAATCAAGCTTGCTTTTGATTTAAATTTTCTGTATTTCACATTCCACTGATTGTTTTGATGTGCATTTTTCACGGAGAATAACCTATGTTCATGGTGTTTTTTTATAAACCAAGGCAAAATTTCCAAGGTTTATGACAGGTTTACATTAGCACTCTTTCCATAGTCTAACATTGTGCAGAGTACAAGCTTGTATAACAGCTGTGATATTCAGTTATATCCGATGAAAAATGTAATGTGCTTTGGGCTCTACTCACACCTTTGGGTTCACTTCATACATCACTTGTCTAGTCAAGGGACATGCGGTTGGGGAGGCAGGTGAGGCAGAGCCTCACCTAATATTATGAAAGAAAAGGCTTTTTCTCCATTCAGAGCGGCTTCTATCAGGTTACACAGCAGGGAAAGCCTCCCCGCTGTGTAACCTGTCATGGATGGAGTGATGCCTGTTAATTGCATCCGGCTTTTGACAGCTATGTTAGGTTACACACCACTGCTTGCGCAACGTAACATAGTGAGGACAGAGCTGCAATAGCCTCTACTTTAGAATGGACTCCACTGCATGTCACTGGTCTACTAGTCACTCATGGGAACAGTCACAACCTTTGCTTTAGTGTGTTCCCTCACTAATAAAATAAAAAAATGTGAGACTCTTCTATTCATTTTGAATGTACTTCAAGTCCATCACTTCAGCCTCAGTCCACTTTGTAACTTTAGTCCCCCAACTACAAGTTTGATTGGCCTTATAACACACCACTAGTGTGTACTATTAGCTATCATGGGAAAGTTGACCCGCAAACTCTAAATTAGTACCAATTTTAAAATGTTGATGCAAGTCACTTTTTATTTGCAAAGTAGCATTTCAAGAAACCTGGAACACTCAGAATAAATCCTTTTCGAAGAGGTTTTGTTAATTTTATAATGCATTTGAGACAACATGCTGTAGTATACAGTAGAAGAAATGTAATGTTTGATTATACAAAGCAATCCTACACAACTAGATAATAGATATGGTGTACACAGTATATCCTCCTACCAAGTAGTTATTGGCCACATTTAAAGTGTATGTAAAGCCATTTTTTTGTTGTAGCTTTAGATAGAGTAAGGAAAGGTTGGCAACCCTGTCTGGTGTTTATCGCTGTCCTAAATTTTGAGTTGTTACTGCAGCAGGTAAAGAATGGAAACCTTCCAAAAGGGGCACATGATGAGACGACAACTGTTTACAGGGCATTTCCCTTCCTGATGCGTCTGTGGGACAGGAAGTTAAGTGAGATTTCTCCAACGGGACACGGGTGGCAAAAAAAACCCCTGAGGTTTTAACCCTTCCCTACTCTGTCCAAGACTGAACTTTGGCTTTAGTTATACTTTTACGCTCCGCAAACTGTTGGCGTTATATAAATCCTGTATAATAATAATAATAATACTTTTATTGCAGTTGAATAAATATTCCAATATATTGTAATAGATCACACTTTAAGAAGTGTCTGTACTAGACAGGAATAGAACAGAGATTAAACTATGGACATTTCTTTAATGAGACAATGATTCTTTAGTGTTTGATTAGAACATTAAGAGATTTAGCTTAACCATTTAAAAATATTGTTTAAATGAGAAAATAAAAACGGTACAAAAAAATATTTACAGAAAAGACATTACAAAATAGACAACAAGCAACATCAAAATAAATGGGATTAAATGTGAAAAGTACTTAACAAAATTTGCCTAGTCTTTGGTTTCGACAGAGTCCAATGCGCTGCCTAGTAAGCTCAACCTTTTATATTATGGAGATTGGCTCTCATGAATGACCCTTAGCAATCATTCATCATTTCAATGGTAAAATGAGAGCTACAGCTGTCAATTCCAGCAACTTTTTGTTGAGCCCCCAGAGGGTGTCTGTGAGCAATCAAACTCAAAACCGTCAAAAAGGGGTGTGATGTAGGCATGCTAAAGTTTTTTTTTATACCTCAACAGACACTTCCTTATTGCCAAGTATTCAGTCTATAACTATAATTCCAGATGGCATGGTTTTACAATCCGACAACCAACATATCAAGCGGAAATTACAATTTGATAATGACCAAACATGATTTAGATTGTATGCATATTGCCTTCTGTACATCATAGCCTAGGCATGTTTGGTATCAAACTGATTGTGATGATAATAAGAATTATTGTGATATGAAAATAGCAATCAGGTCTCCTTCCTGTCTGGATGTCACCTCTGCCGCCCTCCGCGAATCTGCCGCTCCAGGCAAACGCCTTGTTTGCCTCGCGTCAGATACGCCCCTGCTCATGATCAGTAATGCAGAAATAATAATATTTGCTCTAAATACATATTGTATATGGGTCTAGCTCCGCCTTGTTATAGCTCATTGTATACAATCTTTTAGTTATGTATAAATATTCATTTAAGGCTTGCCAGTTCATTTATAAAATCTATTTGCATTCTGGTAATTATGTTCTGTCTTCTGTAGTTCCAAGGAATGGAATATAATTGATAAAGCTGAGAAAGGTCGTCTTCAACATCAGATAAAAGAAGACGGTGAATTCTGGTATGGTATAAATTAGTTGGTATTATATTCTAATGACACTTCTTTTCCTAAAATGTAGATATGTTTTGTTTGTACAGCATAAATATTTGCTGATTTAGTGTAAACATAAAGGGAAGGGCTAATCAGCAGTTAAGTAGAGATGTATTTCTGACTTCTTTTGGAGAGCTTCAGTAGGAAACGTTAAAATAAACTTGAATATATTTAAATCTGCCTATATTCTAAAGATGACAATGTGCTCATGTATTTTCTCAAAAGTGACTTAGCTCTTGAACTCAATCTGTTTTTGTTTTTTTCACCGAGGCATGGTTTTCAACACCGCTTTTTGGTTCAGCTAAACGTTGAGTAAATGTAAACAATTTCAGAATAAACAGAGTATTTTTCACATTCAGCTGTGAAAGACTTATGATAGCAAATTGATACCCATATTGGGACAAACAAATCTTACTTTTCAGTGGTATCTTAAAGATATATTTATTTTTTATGTATTTGAATCATTGCGCTACTGGAGTAATGTTTTCATTTTTTGCACAACTTAAAAATCTGCATATCTGTCTAGAAAAGTTACTTAAAACGCCAAAAGCATTATATATTTTCTGAAAGCAGAGGCCCTACAGAATACAAATATTGTGGTTGCAATTTTTATGCTGCACGACATTTGTGCAACTGTTTTTCAATTTTATTCTTTCATTAAAACATACACTAGCATGAATTGTAGTGCACAGAAACGCAATCCAATTTCCATTTTTTTGTACAAAATAAAAGATGAGGTTGTGTTAAGTAAAAAGATACCAAAAATATCAAGCCTCAAAATTGTGTGCACCCACAAAGAAAATTACAATACCCAAAATCATCAGTAGGCGACACTGAAAATGCTCAACAATTTAGAGTTAAACATAAATGAGCTTATATTTTTGAGTTTATGATTTTGTTTTAACTCCGATGTGTGAGGTGACACTAAATCAAACCTGAGCTCTTCTGGGTACACATTCTGCATAAGACATTGTGGAATGGTTGTTCCTCGGTGTCCTCCCAAACGGTGTTTATTATGGTCTACCAGGAGGAGGAGAACCAGAAATCAAAGAAGGGAGGGGTACGGTGGGGAAGAAGTTGATGGCACCCTTCAAGTCCTGGAAAAGTGATCTGGTGGTTCTACAGCCACCCATATTACTTTAACTAAATAGCACTTAGCTTGCTGATAAAATTAGAACAAAGCTCACAGGCAGCAGATAAATTCTGCCCACATCTCCAAACATCATCTGTCAGGGTAGCAGTACACTGTGATTGTGCAAAGTCTTCTTCTTCAACAAAATTGGTGGCTGTTCTGCATATAATGGATACATAGTATTTCACCAATTTACAAATGTATACAGATACAAAATGTATACATGGTGAATATAATTATTTCTTAAATAAAAGTTAGGAACAAGGCCATCTTTCTGCACAGCCGACAAAAGCTGTGGCCTAGGATGGCAGAGTTTGCAGGGGCACCATACAACTTTCCACATATCATCCTGCTGACTGTCAGTAGCCCATTCCAATGTAAAATAAGGTTTCATTCTGCTACATTGCCTGCTTCTGTAATCTAGGTGGGGTCCTTTGTGGTCCCTACAGTTTGTGTATTTTTTTTATGGAATAGTACACAGTACTGTGAACGTACAATTCATCCACTTTGGGTATGTACACGTAGAACTGAACTGCAAACAGAACAGGGTAACAGTTTTCTTAGTGTTCAAGTCTGTTTTTGTACACTGATGCAAAGTGGGAAAACGACTCCCCCAACCTTAAAGTGTCCTTTTTAGCAATGATATTTACTTGTGTAGTAGAGGGAGTCAGCAAAACTAAATCATTTTACAGGGACAGGAAATATAAATCTGGCCCAGTGGATGGAGTAAACAATAGCCTCTAATATTACAACAATGAAAATGATGTCTTATCTACAAAACATTCTTCTGTTATTCTTAGGATGTCATTTGAAGATTTCTTGAAGAACTTCACAAAGCTGGAGATTTGCAACCTAACAGCAGATGCTCTGGAATCAGACAGGTTACAAACATGGACGGTGTCCGTTAATGAGGGACGATGGGTCAGAGGCTGCTCAGCAGGTGGATGTCGAAATTTTCCAGGTGAAACCTGTTTTTGTGTTGATAGACAACATTAGAAGTTTCAGTGTTATAAATGCAATTATTTATAATACCTAGGCAAAGTGATTGGAGTTGTTGCACATATATAGTGAAGCTTAACCTTGATATTGTCTAGTGTGTGGGGGTATAGCTTAAATGGGGATCACCTTCCCTGGGAAAAAGGTAGTCCAGGCAGCAAAAGTTCTTTTTCAATCTGACTAGCAGTCAGTTTTTATTAAAAAGGTTGCAATAAAACAAAATAAAACAAATCCTTGCCATCCAGGCTCTGACTAAACAGGCAGGTTTCCTATCTACAAAAGTGGCAGGGGCGTCCCGAGGCTGGGTGACACCCGGAGCGGTAACCAAGTGTCACCCCGCCGAGACGTCACTGCGCATGCGTATTGTCGATGAGATCTCAGTATTCTATCCACCATTCTTTGGAATGAGGCAGGGGCACCATGCAAACCAAACAGCATCCTCTTATACTGGAAAGACCCCTCGGGGTGTAGAGAATGCTGTCTTTTCTTTTGCACTGTCAGTCAGGGGTATCTGCCAGTATCCCTTAGTCAGATCTAAAGTGGTTATATATTGGGCATTTCCCAGTCTGTCAATGAGCTCATCTACCCGAGGCACCGGGTAAGCATCAAATTTGGACACATTTTGTAACTTTCAAAAATCATTGCAAAATATTATGCTTCCATCTGGTTTTGGAACCAGCACAATCACTATGGGACTCTTTGACCCCCTCCCCGCCAATTCTAACATTTTCTTTATTTCTTCCAGACAGCTTCTCGTCTAGCTTTAGGTATCCTATACGGCTTTACGTTTACATGAACACCGGGTTCAGTAATTATGTCATGATGTATGACTGTGGTCAATCCAGGCATTTCTTCTCAGAAATTTTTTTGCCTCATTATGTTGAGCCACCGATAAGGTTTCAGCTATTGGGACCTCAGGTGTGGAGGGGCCTGTATCTTTTGGAGGGGTTTGGATAGCCACCAGGGCTTCTCTGTCTTTCCAGGGCTTTAAGAGGTTCATATGATAAATTTGCTCGGGTTTTCTTTTCCCTGGCTGGTGAACTTTATAGTTTATTTTGCCTATTTTTTCAATTACTTCATAGGGGCCTTGCCACTTTTCCAGGAGTTTACTCTCAACTGTTGGGACTAGCACTAGGACTATCCCCGGGGTTAAATCTACGTACTTTGGCACCCCAATTATAAACCCTCTTCTGTGCTTCCTGGGCTTGCTCCATATGTTCCCGTACTAGGGGCATGACAGCCGCAATTCTGTCCTGCATCATCGAGATATGCTTGATGATGCTCCTATCTCTTTTGCATTCATCGCCTCCTTACTGTAACCTTCTGTGGTTAATGTTTTTGTTTGTGATTTTCGTCATGTTTTTCTATGCCTTTTTTTATTTTATTTCTGTATTGCACTAAATATTATTAATCTTAGATTGAACCATCAAAAAATGTTTCCCTTGCAATACCCAAGTGAGTAAATACCTGAACAAGTTCCTTGGCAATAGTTTTAGCTGAGGTATTGTGTAAGGGAATGGCTTCAGGATACCGGATACCGCGTAGCATAGTCCAGCATTACTAGTAAATGCTGGTGCCCCCGGGTAGACTTAACCACTGGACCCACCAGATCCATGCCAATTCTTTCAAAGGGTACCTCAATAATTGGCAAAGGTACCAGCGGACTAGGAAAATGGAGTGATGGTGCCGAATACTGACACTCTGGGCATTACTCACAACATTCCTTTACATCTGCATGTGGCATGAGGGAAAGGCATAACACATTCATTAGACACACCCACAATGTCCTCTTCCATTTTATAGTCAAAAGGTTCTGGACTACGTTCCCTTGGTTCACATGTAGGGGGGAGCACTATCCACCTGAACCTTTTTTTTTTCCAAAGTCTCCAAAATTGTGGAAAATCTCTCTCCACGATAGCTTCATGAAGCAGGGAGGATACTACACCCACAGAATGTGTCACAGAGCCCCATGGGGTATCAATTTCCACTACAGCAGTCATGTGTGTCACCATGTACACAAATAACCCCAATAGTGCTAGGGTGGTACCTTGTGGGGCTGATAAAGTCAGCTCTGACTAGAGTTACCATGCTACCAGAATCTAGCAGAGCTGCAACTGGCTTTCCATCAACTGAAATAACACACATTTGTCTCTCAATACGTTCCTAACATGATGCGGTACACACCACTTGTGCAAAGAAAGACATGCGTTTTCAGTCAATGGACAATTAGCAGCAATATGTTCTAACCCATGGCAACGAAAGCATTTTATGGGTTCTGCGCCTTTATATGGCCTCATGGTCCTTTCTGACCTACCAGGCCAGTCTCTAGGTCCAGAGCCTATAGTCTCTTCATTTTCAGCAAATGTTTTATGATAGTCTACCGTGCCCTTAATCCCTGGAACAGGCTTATCCGGTCCTCTGGGCAGTTGTCCTCTGGGTGAGATGGGACGATCAAGCACGGGGGTACTCTGTAGCTGTCGTTTATTTTTATCACACTTTTTAATATGTTTCTTTGCGGCTTAACAAAATAGGAGTCTTTAAATGGTGCATATATTGGGGGAAATGGGTGTGGTTACAGGGGCGTGGCCACTAAAGGGTGTGGCCACTGAGGGGCGCTGTAAAGCTTTCTCGCACAGGGTGCCTAAAGGCCTAAGGCCGGCCCTGGGTGTATCGCTCTACCATGTCCAATAGCTCGGTAGCCATTTTGGGGTCTCCATCCCAGATAGCAAGCAATTGAGCTGCAAGTTTGAAAATGACTTGCTAAACTATTGCAGACTTGCCAAGCTTCACAATTTTGTTGCACAATTATAGCAAGTCTGCATTGCAAGTCTCCAGACCAGCGAGCTTGCAGAGCCCTTGCTAAGACCTGCAGGATTCTTGCTGTAGACTTGCCAAGCAAATTTGCTACAAATTCAAAAAGTGTCAACTAGAACTTGTGCTGCAAGTGTTCTGCAAGTCTACAACTTGCCAGGAATATGTGCAGCAAGTTAACAAAATTACAATTTCACCCTGCCACAAGTTTGTAGCAAGTTATCCTTGCTATCTGGGATGGCTGACCCATTTCCTTAGGGTGGCAGGAAGAGCCTGCAAATAACGGTCCATCACCACACGCTCCACTATCTCCAGTAGCAACAATGTCTCAGGTTGGAGCCACTTCCTGGTAAGGTGTTTAAGATCAAACATTTGGGACATTGGGGGCTTTTCAGCCTTATAGGTCCACCGATACACCCGCTGGGCATTGTAGCACCCAGTCTTGCCAGGATTTCAACCTTAAGTACATTATAATCCTGAACAGCCTCAGGTTCCAAGTCGTAGTAAGCTTTTTAGGGTTCCCCTGTCAGAAAAGGTGCAACCAGCCCCGTCCACTCACATCTCTGCCAACATTCTCGTGCAGCAATCCTCTCAAAAGTAGTGAGGTAGGCTTCCACATCATCTGCAGCTGTCATCTTCTGCAGGTAATAGCTGGCACGCTTCACCTTTTGTTCCACTGGAATTGAAGCCACGGAGTTACCCTTTAATTCTAGGAGGCTCTGAGCCACCTGCTTGAGTACCTCTTGATCTGCTTGCTGTGCCTCCAACATCTGCCGCTGAGCCTCTGCAAACTGGCGATTTGTCTCTTGTTGGGCTATAGTGGCCTGCTGCTGGGCCGCAGTGGCTTGAAGCAAAGTCCTTATCACATCCTCTATCATGCAACTTGCTCAGGGAAATGCCTGCCAAATCCACCATATGTGGGGTATAGCTCAAATGGGGATCACCTTCCCTGGGAAAAAGGTAGTCCAGGCAGCAAAAGTTTTTTTTCAATCTGACTAGCAGTCAGTTTTTATTAAAGAGGTTGCCATAAAACAAAATAAAACAGAAAACAAATCCTTGCCATCCAGGCTCTGACTAAACAGGCAGGTTTCCTCTCTACCAAGTGGTGAGCTTATCTCAGCCACCTCACAAAACAAAAATACTTTCAGCAACCTTTAACTCACACACATCCAATTTGTAGCACTCTCAAGGTGCCCATACACTGTGCGAATATCGCACGATAATCGCGAGAAATCCCGCGATCGTACGATAATCGCAAAGTGTATGGAAGGCGTGCAACCGTTTTTACTGTATGGTCGCACGTCTTTTGTCTAAGGAGCATGCTAGAAAACCATGCAGAGAATCGCACGATTTTCGGCTGGTTTTTAGCATGATCGTAAGATCAATGCCGCACGGGCCGGTGTGCGCACGCGCACACTGCCCGTTCAGCATTGCGGTCATCGGAAGCCCGCCCCTCAGGGGGGCGGGCTTGCGATGATCGTAAGTACGATCTGCCTGTCAAAGATGGGCAGATCGTACGTTTTTTAAATTACTTTACAACCATCGCAAGACTAAGGTCTTGCGATGGTTGTAAAGTGTATGGCCACCTTCAGAGTGCTGTCTGAGTCCCAGGCCAGAGCAACATCATGCTTCAGCCTTCCCCTTTTATCTCACCTGTATAATCACTCATTAAGCAATTAACAATCCAGGTGAGAGACACAAAACCCAAGCTGGATTATGCAGACTCAAAGTCAACCCGAAAACCTGGTCTAGGTTCCACTAGTCCTGTACATAGGATAGAAAGCGAGGGGAAATATATCGCCCCTCAATGACTTCCCCTCTTCTTTATGTCACAAGTGATGCAAAAATGCACTGCAACACACATTACCAGAACATACCAATGCATATGTGCTGACATGTGCACTAAGGAGTGAAAAATCCCTTAGGATAAAAAGTGGTAATTAGGGTTTTTGTGCATACAAGGAGTCTTTAAAAGTAATGAGATGTTGAAGTACTTTAGTTCACATTTTGCACTAAAGTCTAACTTTACCTTTGGGGCAGTTACACATATATTGAAGCTTCCCCTCCCCCAAGCACCCTCTGCCAGTCTCATATTCATTTGTCTCCAATCCAGCGGGATATCACCTATGAGGCCACCAGTGGCGGACCTAAGGAGCAAAGGGCCCTGGTGCAAGATATTCCCCCCCACCCCCCAAAAAACCCCCCACAAACACAGTGCTCTCCTCGCGCTGCGCTCGGCCGGCTGTCACTTTCTCTCCTCCCCGCTGGGACACAGAGCAGCGCCCAGCAGGGAGGAAAGAAAGCAGGGATGCGCTGCTGTATCAGCAGAAAAATGGCACTTTCGGCTTTTATCCAAAAGTGCCATTTCCGACCGATATCTCCGATCCGGTGCTATGCGGCGGCCGGCAAGTCCCACCATCTATTCACAGGGACTTGCTGGGCCCCCCCAGGCTGAGGCCCCCGGTGCGGTCGCACCGGCTGCATCAGCGGTAGTTCCGCCACTGGAGGACACAGAGCTGTATGTCAAAACCTTCCGAGGTGGGCCTGACCTTGTATTGAGCACTCTCCATGCATTAATTTGAAGTTGAAATTGACTTTATTCCTACTGGATCATTAGTTTAGCATTAAAATAAATTAACTATTTGAATTTAATTTTCACAGACACCTACTGGACCAACCCTCAGTACCGTCTAAAGCTTTTGGAGGAAGATGATGACCCAGAAGACAATGAAGTTGTCTGCAGTTTCCTTGTTGCCTTAATGCAGAAAAACCGCAGAAAAGATCGGAAAATGGGAGCCAATCTGTACACAATTGGCTTTGCTATTTATGAGGTAAGTAAGTGGTATAACTATAACTTTAAACTGACCACACATGGGCAGACCTTTTGCCTGCTCATTAAAGATCAGATTGCGCCTTTTTGATGAGATCACCAGACCGTAGTACTAGTCTAAGGTTAGACAATCATTAATTTTCCCCAAAAACATTGGACCAGACAATGATTATGTCATGTTTGTGGGTGTCATTTCTGACAAAATGGCAGTCAGGATGACCGCTTTGTTGGACTCTTAAAGGAGTGTTCCATGTAAAGGTAAACATCTTCTGTTTAGATTGTATATCTGCATTACAATATATTTTTTATATTTGTGGTCCAGTTACCTGTAATTTTTTGATGTGTTTACATTCACCTAATTCTCTGCACTACTAGGAGCTTCGTAATTTACTACAATCACTCAGCTTTTTTGGCTTACAACCGTTGGGAAGTGTTATCAGCTGACTCCCACACTTGCACTGGGAGAAGAAGCAGTAAAGAGCAGCTATTGTGTAGCACTGCAAAGCAGAAAGCAGAGGCTGCATACGTAATGAGCAAATATGGCTGCCCCATGTACATATATAAGTATAAATAATAAACATGAACAGGGTTTCTAAAACTAGATTGCTGCTCTACCCACCAGCACTTAGACTAACAGCAGCTCCAGAGTTTACTGAAAGAAAATAAAGGAAAATATATAGCTAGAAATAAAAAAAATTACATCTTTCTAATTTTTCTGCTTGTCCATTTCCCCCTATAATTCCCTAGAATAACATTTTTATTAAGTAATATAATTTACTTATATGCCAGCTTTTTCTGAAGCTGTCAGTCTAAGAGCTGATGGGCAGAACAGTCATCTAGTTACTGTAGAGGCGGTCTCCCGGCTGGGAGCCTACACATAAGGGTTTTTACATCAGGGGTCCAGGGAAACCCTGCAGGGCAGTGTAGCCACACTATATTGTGGAGTGAAGTTTGCAAAAGATTCAAAATTTTAGCGGAATACTTGACAAGTTTCCCCAGCAGTGAGCGCACTCCTAAGTGTGCAATTTGGATGGGGGGGCGGGTGGGGGGGCTAGCTAGGGTGTGCAGCTCCAATAATGACAAGTAGAGGTACCCTGGGGCCAAAACTGTAATGACATAAAAACGACAGGAGCACCACAACCTAGTGCAATAAGACCTGAAAAACGACGGTTGAGACAGCGGCATCACTAGTGGGGTGCGGGGGGTGCAGCCAGCACCAGGAAGACACCATTGGAGGGGATGACACCAAAATGACTGACAGTAATTTTGGTGTCATCCCCTCTTAAAAGTCGGGCCCGACAGTTGCACGAGAGAGGAGGGGACCCAACGGCATACCTTATTCCACCGGTGAACATCCCCTCCTCTCTCTGCAATCGTCCATCACCAAGATGCCTGCCTGTGTTCTATCAGTTTGTGACTGCGTTGGAATGTGCAACCGTGTCATTTCCGGTGACGTGCTTGAGCATTCCAACGCATTCTCAGCTGCTCCAGTGCAGGTCAGTGTTCCGTGGGAGATTATGATGAGTTACTTTTCGCGACTTCCAGTGGTGCGAGAATCTTAAGGTGCATGCCTAAGACGCGCTTGCAACAGTGGGTCGACATTTCTCACATACCACACATACCTCAAATTCCTCCAGTTACGTGAGTTGAAATTCCTCACGGTCAGGTACTGCACATGTGGGGCGACCTTCCTTACAAGCAAAGTGCCTATACTGCACATGCGGAAGGGGGGCAATCACAGACACATTAGCATAACTGCAGGAGCGTTGAAATGAGCCAGCGAGCGTCGCAGATATATACAAAATAAAATATAAATACCCTACCCAACAGGGCCTCCCTCCTGACTAAGTAGTGCACAGTGAGATGCTGCATCGTGCTCTAATGTGCAGGAAGAATAGAGCAGAGGTTCTCCCCTTAATGAGACCAAGGCCCAGTAGTTTTCTTCCAAAACTTCCTTGAAGTGGTTATTAATAAAAATAGAGCTCTGGAGGTGATTGCCATAATGTGCTAGTATGCACAGAATATTAGCACATTATGGCTGATTTACTTGCAGGCAATGCCCTTCTACATTGCTGTCTGCTCTTCCTCCCGTCGCTGGCGCTGCCATCTTCTCTCGGTCTTCTTCCAAATTCTTTGCTTGGCTGGATGGCATGATGTAACTCCTGTGCATGGGAGTTACTTCATTCTAGCATGCTGGATCTGTGCACTGAAAAAAAAAAATTCTGACAGGCACGGAGGAGCTTTTTTTGATAGAAGAGACTTACACAGTCTCTGCCCATTAGCAATTTTTTATAAACACATTTTACTTCCACTTTAACCACCTCAAGGCCGGCTGAGAGGTCTCTAGATCTGAGTGGGCGTCATTAGACGTCTGCTCAGCCACCCCCACCTGCTTCTTAGCCCCCTATGTCATAGCAATAAAGTTAAGTGAAAAAAAACAAATAGGAAAAAAAATTAAAGTTTCCAAAATAAAATTAAAGTCACACATAAAAAAGAATTAAAAAAAAAACAAAAAACATTTTTAAAAGCCCCCACCCATACATACACACATGCAAACATGCGTCAGGTGCGTATACCTGCGAAAACGATTATTGCGCCCATTAGGCTGCACATATTACATATCGCCGCGAACGTCGCAGTGAGAGCAATAATTTTAGGGCCATCAATCACTGATAACACTAAACTGATAAGTGGTAAAAGCTTTTAAAGTGTCGCCTATGGTCAGTTTTGGGTATTGTAGATTTTTGCGATTTCGCGGGTGCGCGCAATTTTTAAGCTTGACATGTTTGGTGTCTATTTACCCGACGTGACCCCGTCTTTTATATTTTACAAAGAAATTGGGTAATAATAATTGTTTCCTAACATAATGTAAAAAACACATTTTTTTCAAAATTTTCAGTAAATTTTCTGAACTATAGAAAAAAATAAAAACCCCAGTGGTGAATAAATACCACCAAAAGAAAGCTCTATCTGTCCCCCAAAAAAATGGTATAAAATTCATTTCAGTACAGCGTTGCATGACGGAATAAATGTCAGTCAAAGTACCACAGCGCTGAATACTGAAAAATGGCCTGGACAGGAAGGGGGTCTAAACCCCTGGTCTTCAAGTGGTTAAGGCAGCCCATTGAATAGAATAAAAGTAAGGAAATACATATTCTGCATTCCCATACATTTATTACTTTTTTTCGCCTGCCATGCATGTCTGTTGATCTACCTTGCAGTAATGCAAGGTAGATTGATAGACGTATATAGCAGGCACTAGGCAGGTGACACATCTGTTCATTGCATGCAGTGCCAAGCATGTCCTTCAGTGCAGTCTGACATCCAGCTTCCAAGACACCATGAGCACAGACCCCCAGCACCCGGGTTCATCTATATATATTAGGGATGCACTGAAATTTCGTCTGCCGAAACATATCGGCCGAAAATTGCACTTTGGGCAAAATGCCGAAAGTACCATCTTTTGGCCGAAATTGTGGTACATCCTTAGTTTCTCTCCTCTTTTGTGTAATTGGTGAAATAGCTAATCCTTTTGTTTAAAACCAGCTCTTTTGCAATAGTAGCCCTATTGCAGTATTCTTCATTGGTTAAATTTATACAACTGCATATTAACAGTCCCATTTGATTTGCAAAAGTAACCAAAGCAGCTCAGTTTCCACCTAGTAGATTGCTTGGTACTTTATTGAACATTTTCACAATGATCAGATGCTGAATATTAGTCTTGCATAAACACCACTTTATGACTGAATTTAACATTTGACGGCTGCTCTTTTGTATGATGTTTTCATTTTATCTGTATTTTTTTTCTTTCCTTCCTCCAAGGTCCCAAAAGAGGTATGATGATGAAGGAATAAGTAAGAAAAAAGTAACTTGTGATGGCTTTATAACCCATTGGAAACCAATCCATGTGGACTAGTTTGAAGTGTTTCAATTGTAGTGACTGGTGCAAGAATAACTAATGTTATGTGTTACTAGCATTCATCTATGTATGTTCCCTTAAGAATCCTAATAATCACTTAAATTACATCAGCTAACACTGTCCCAGTGGAGCATGAAATATATTTAATTGATTACGGGTACTTATACAGTGCCATCAATTTACCCAGCACTACATACTACTCATTCACATCAGTCCCTGCCCCGAGGAGCTTAAAATCTAAGGTCCCTTACACATACTAGAGTCAATTAAACTGTTAGAGAATATGCAAACTCTATGCAGATAATGTCCTGATTGAGATTTGAACTGAGGACCCAGTGCTGCAAGTCAAAAGTGCTAACCACTGTGCTGCCCACGTGCCACTTTAACTTGTACACCTAGACTAATTTTCCTATACAAAATTGTACCCAATGTATTTGATAGACCCCTTCACATATATCTCATAAGACACTGTGGGTTTTTAAGTGTGAACCAAACCAACTTTCACTTTTCTGTGCCTACTCTTCAAATTTTAGGAAACTTGTTTGATTGGCTGCTTTGATTAACAGTCTACTTTATGACAAAGGTGAAAAGACACTTTTTGTTTTTTCTTTTTTTGTGACTACCAGTGTCAGTTTCTCTTACTGGAATGAGATAGGCAACAGTTTCAGGAGTCTTCCTAATAAAATTGGTATATTGGTTGTATGTTGTATGGAAGTTTTTAATACACAGAAGTGAATAACAGGATACTGCTTTTTGAGGAAGAAAACTTCATGTATAATTTGAAGAGCGCTTCTGTGTGGAATTTTCTTTTACTTTCCTTTTTTAACTGTTCTTAAGTACTTTATATTGTGCCATTATATTTACCAGGACTTTTATATTTACCAGGAGTGCATAATACCACATTAATGCCTATTACAATATTAATTTACATTTTAGTGTTCCTATCATTGGCTTGTACCCAAGTTAACCTGCTAATATCATCCTTGGAGGAAACCAAACTGCTAGCCATTTATCCACGCTGCTGCCTTACTTACATATTACAACAGTAATCTGATTGTCTTTCTCAAATGCAACTTGTAAACCCTGTATTTGTTCTGTTTTCTAAATATCTCCTGTGCCTACCGACCAATCACACCCTTCCTCTGATAATAACTATCTGAGCTGGTTGTGTGAGTTTAGTATATCATATCATGTTGACTGCTCATGTACTTGGACTTTTACAGAACTTGTTTTGTGCTTAGGAACTCATCTAAAAGTACTGATCAGTTGTGGAAAGGAGAAAGGAGAAGACTTTTCAGGATATTACCAGTAATTAGCAATGCTGCTATTTAATGTATTTCACTGTCTTTTCTGCTGTTATGCAGATGCATGGAAATAAACAGCATCTACAGAAGGACTTCTTCTTGTACAATGCATCCAAAGATCGGTGTAAGTCCTATATCAACATGAGAGAAGTCTCACAGCGTTTCAGACTACCTCCCAGTGAATATGTCATCATCCCCTCCACCTATGAGCCACACCAGGAAGGAGAATTTATTCTGAGAGTCTTTTCAGAGAAAAGAAATGTTTCAGAGTAAGCCTAGTATAATTTTAACAGTGCTTCTTATAACTTTTAGGGCTGATAAATATTTTTTTTTATCCATTGAAGGGGCACAGGAATTTTGTGATTTTTAGACATTTGAGTTACACTACTGCCTTCAAGAAGTTGGGACACTGGCAAAAAAAACATGCTAGACCAACTCCTGTATAACCCCACCTCCAACCTTCATGCCTCAGATTTTTGCTAGTGTCCTAGGTGCCCTGATGAAATAAAGTATAACTATATACTGTATAACTATATTTTTTGAAGGACATTTTATTGTTCTTGTGTTTTTCTTCAATCAAGATAGGTTTTACACTGCAGATATTTCTTCTTTGGTGACTTTAATCAAGACTTTAAACAACAAATATTGAACCGGGCATCTTTTGCAGCTGCTCCTTCTGGTGACACTGCACCTTGTTTGTGCATTTTTTTTGTTTGGATTTGCTGCACCATGGGATATCTGATTTCTACTCTGGTAAGAATCTATGCTTAGGAATTTGATTCTGCACTCCTCTATGCAGGGTAGTCCATTTCCATCGTGGTTGGTTGTCCTCCTTGCAGTGTTTGACTCTCTTCAATCCTATCCCTCTTTTGAGTGATCTTGTGTCCTACAAGATAAACAGGGATCAGTTCCTACCCACTCCCTTACCTTGTAAGAGTCTAAGTCTTCAGTATAGTCCAGTAGTTTTGGACGCTACCACCAGCACCGACTCTTATGTCCACCCTTGTGCCTTTTCCTGGCTTCCCCATTGTGAAATATTAAGGAGACCTTCACTGAAATGGTCAATGTCCTATATTCTTGCAGTTTGTGTTAAGCCCAAAGACCAATTGTCTACACTCTTTGAATATAGCATATACTTTGCCATTCATCTCTTAGGGATTTGTGGGACTGTTGATTAACTCTTCTTCACATAGCCCATTTCATGTGCTTGCCCTCAGTCCTTTTCAATTCTTCTTTTGAGTTAGAGAATCTGAAATTTGGGCAACACACCACGCTGGTCTTTTCAGATCAAGAAGTCTGGCAAATGTTTTTGTCATATTCTGGTCAAAGGGGAAATTATCCCTTTCCATAATTTTGGGAGCAGTTCTTCAAATGGATATATGCTCTTATGCACTCCTTCGAGTCTGTTTCTATGGAACAAAAAGCTTCCCAAGTTATCTAAGGAACCATTGGTTGGTTGGTCTTTTAATTTAACCGACACTGGACCTCATATGGAGGTTGCCAGATCTTCACCTCTAGAAAAAAAAGTAAGAATTTCCTCTGCAGCTAACCAAGTGATCTACTCTTTTCCATTTAAAATTATTTTTTTTATTATTGTTTCGGCATAAAGATAAAAAGCATATCAAAGTACAGCAGTACAGAAAGGAAAGACAATAAGATAAAATAAGATAAAATAAAATACATCTAACATGGGATACTTCTCAGCCAAATCCGGTGGCTTTACAAGGTATTGATAGCACCGGGTGTCACATCCCCAATGGGGTCCTTTGCTATATTATGACCTCTAAAAACTACCTATGGGCCTCCACTTTCGTTGTTCCTTTCTACCTCTGTGCCCGACATTACTCGTGATTATCAACCACTCCAGGCGCTTGCTGTCAACTAGTGGCTTGGTGTTCTCATTGTCCCTTTCTCCTACCAAGCCTGCCCCCTTATTGCTGAGGTATTGGGCATATCCATTTGGGGCTCCACATGCACCGTATATGAGCAGTTCTATCTCTGTACGTTGGGTTTATCTGTGTTGCTTTGATCCATGACTGGAGTCACC